TTAGTAAAAATAAATAAATAAATAAAATAAAAATAAAATAAAGATGGGCAAAAAATATCTATATATGCAGCATGCTCCAATCTTTCCCCAGAAGGTAAAGAGAGGTAATGTAAAACAGAATTTAATTGATCTGGCCTTACTCTGGATTACGCTGGCAGATAACTTATACCTTGTAGTAATTTTTTATTGATATTAGCAATTAAGAAGCGAGTAATTAGCTAAGTAGACCAGAATGACAATAACATTTCACAAAAGTAGTTGAGATTGCAGCAAACAAGCTGTGAAAAAAAAAAAAATGATTCAAATGAGTCTGTTTATTGCTGCCTAATTTCATACCTAATTCTGCCAAGATTCCTTTATACTTGGCATATGTTGTTAACATGAGTTAGTTGTGTTTATATTCAATATTCCTATAGTGAAGACTAGTTTGGAAGAGCAGTGCATAATGAATATATAGCTCCAGCCACTACTGGTTCAGGCTTCTAATGAGTATAGAGATTCTAAAAAGAAATAATTATGACTATACTTTATGATAGAAATGAGATTCTTCATTAAAATTAATTTATTCAATTTGTTTAATATGAAAGAGGATGCTTTCTGGAACTTACTACATTACATCATAGGCATCACGCTATCATACTAGTATGCACGCCGCTTCATTAACAATCACGATACTAATTTATTCAAATACTCAACTTTACCCAAAAAGGAAAAGGCATAAAATTAATTTATTACATATGTACACGCCATTCATCACTATTTAAGGTGGTTACATTGGTTTTCGATCAGTAATATATAAGCAATGATTCTTAAAGAAATTGCTTGTAGAAATTATTTTTGTAAACCTTCTTGTGCTTATTGTTGGCTACTTAAGTTTACGAATCTAAAAATATCTATGATGATGGCTACGATGATGACCACAATAATGACCACAATAATAATCACAATAATGACCATAATAATGACCAAGATAATGACTGCGGTAATGATCATGATGATAACTATGATAATGACCGTGTTGACCGTGATGATAATAATAATCATAATGATATCTTTAGCAAGCGAAGCAATAGGAGTGAGGTTTGGGATTTCTTTAAAAAAGTTGTGTGGAAAAAGATTGAAAAACAGCAAAATGTACTATACCGAAATGCCAGCATAAGGAATTTTCTTGTGGAGACGGGGGATCAACAAAACCACTATGCCACTATTTAGAAGGCTCTTACTGGTCGCAATATGTTATGACAAGGGAATATAAAAAAAAAAACAGAAGGTTCAAGACGAACATGGTACTCTCGATAAAATATTTGGAGGGGTAAGTTATGACTTGTTTTTTTAATTTTAAGACAATATTAATAAAAAACAACTTACTCTAGCATTCCAAAGACTCCTATACTGCAACTGCAATAACTAATGTCGATAATGTAAAGCTTTATAATATGTTTACTGCTTGGATTGTTAATCGTCAATACCCATTGCTTATAATCGAAGACCCTGAGTTGGTTGAAATTATTCAGTATTTAAATCCTAGAGCACAATTGGTCAAATCTGATGCAATAAAGAATTCAATTGTATCTCTTTATGACTTAGGAAAAAAGAACTTGAAGGCAAGTTTCACATTTATGTTTATACCATTTATTATCTACAGCACCTTAAATATCAATAGCCATTCTGCCAACAATATTAGCTTTATTTAAGTTAGTGTTTATTGTTAGTATTAGCCAGATATATATTGTTGGCAAAATAAATTATCAGCGAATTATACCTGGTTTTATTCAAAAACTTTAATTGAATAATATTAATATATACTTGTATCTCTGTTATTACCTTAGTTATATTAAACATTTATAGCATTTTTCAAATTATTGTGTCTACTAATTTTCATACATCGCACTAGAAATCAGAAATCTAGAATAAATGCAAATTTGTGATTGGTTAAAAATAATTTTTAGCCAATCATGTATTGGTATTTATTCTAGATTTCTAATTTCCAGCGTGATGTATGAAAATTAGTGGACACAGTAATTTGAAAAGAGCGATAATATGCAATTTAAAATTGCCAAAAATTTTTTGTTTAGAAGTCTAATTAAAATTACGTGTATATTCATTATAAAACTTTTTTTAAAATTTCTATATACTGTATAAAATAATTTATAATATATGGTATGTAGTGAATAACCTAGTTACACGCAGTTCGTATTCTGTGCTGAATTTTAAATATGAATCAATGTATGTATAGTAACTAGGTTATTCAATATACCAATATAATAACTATTTTTATTGCACGGTGCCTGATGTAACAATTCCGTGCCAATAAGTAAATGAAAAAAGCACGAGTTGTCATATAAGACCTGCACACAAATTTTTAGCTTTTATAGCTTTATAATAATTTGATTATATATATATTTTCTATTTTACAACCATTATAGGCTTATCTTTCCACTATTAGTTCTAAGCTTTCTTTCACTTCAGACATCTGGACATCTCCAAATAATAAGGTCTTTGTATCTGTTATAGCTCATTATATAGACGAATGTTGGACCTTTCAGGAAACACTACTTGACTTCAGTTTGCTAAGTGGAAAACATAATAGAACAAATATTTCTAATGGATTCTTTAAGGTGATAGAAGACTATGGAATCACATCAAAGGTTTTTATTTTTTAAAATATTTCTTTAATTTTTCATATTGGTTAATTAAATTTAGTACTAGTTGATTTGCCATCATGTGATTTCACAGAAATTAATGTCTGTGAATCATATGATACTGAATAAGCATTGCACTTCAGTCTTTTTTAAGAATACTAAGATAATTAAATAATATCCCAAGTACCATATGAAGGGATATTATACAAGAGACATATTAAAGAGAGCATTGATTTAGGCTATATTCATGATTAGTATTGGGATACTTTTTTGAAGAGAATACATACTGTATGCAGATTACGTCTCATTTTCCTGAAGGCTATTTTCTTTATAGCCACATCGCGCAAATAACAATTTATTAATAACATATGCCTTCAACTAATCAAAAGCTAAACCTAATGATGTGCCATTTATATGATACCTGAAAATTTTAGCGTACAGTACGTACTGTATGTATAGTTCTTTTCTGGCATCTGATTGGCTAGAACAAGTGATCAGCAAAAATTTTAGGTATAGTATATATAGCCTATACGCGGCACATCACTAGCTAACCCTAACTCTACATGGTGTTGGTTAAATTGTGGTAAGAGAAATGACTATCAGAAATTAAGCGACTACCTATAGGCAGTACTATATAGTAATAGATTAATATAATATTTATAGAGTTTTAGAATTATAGCGCTTTTCAAATTACTGTGTCTAATAATTTTTATACATCGCACTGGAAATCAGAAATCTAGAATAAATGTAAAATTGTGATTGGTTAAAAATAATTTTTACCCAATCATGTATTGGCATTTATTCTAGATTTCTGATTTCCAGTGTGATGTATGAAAATCAGTAGATGCAGTAATTTGAAAAGAGCGATAAAATAATTGAATTTCAATAAAATAAAAAACTTAGTTTTGTACTATTTATATATATTATAAATCTCTTACAAAATGAGTTAATTTTTTTTTTTTTAACAGCTTAATGCTATAACCTTAGATAATGCTGCAAACAACAGCACTTTCATTCATGAATTGGTGATTAAGTTGAAAGAAGAAAAGGCTATCAAATGGAATTTGAAACAACTTCAGTTTCGATGCTTTGACCATATTCTGAATTTGGCTACACAAGCAGCTTTAGACCAAATAAAAGAAGATATTTGTAAGGTATTAGTATAAAAACTCTTAGAACTAATTTTTTTTAAAATAATTCTATTACTATACTAACAAAGAAGCAATTAAGATTCGGGAGCTTTGCTCTAGTATTCGTGCATCACTTCAATGCCTTGAGCTTCTTGAGAATGCATGTGGTGCATGCTGTATTAAGTTTCATAAACCAATCTTAGATTGCCCAACCCACTGGAACTCTACGTATGACATGATTAAAAATGGGTTATTTCTTAAACCAGTAAGTTTTATACTCTTAATTTTCATACTATATAAGAAATTTTTATATGGGTCCGTATTATTTCACTGACAATCACTTCGTAGACACCACTTTTCACTAACAATTATTCACCAGCAAGTTTATTTTATTGACAGTCTATTTCACCGAACTCATAGTTAATTTAACTCTAATTCCATCTGATTGTAATGATAATAGCTAGAATTACTTTGCCTGTGAAATGAGCTTCAGTAAATAGGTTATAGGTAAAATGAACTTGTTAGTGAATAATTGTTGGTAAATGTGATATCTATGAAGTGAGTTGATCAGATCTCATAACTATATAGTTATTGTACAGATCCTATATGACAATCCATGCTTTTTTCATTTACTTATTGGCATAGGATTGTTATATCAGATACCATGCAATAAGATAGTATTATATTGGTATATGAATAACTCAGTTATATACATGGGTTCATATTTAAATCCTGTGCCTTTAGCACAGAATATGAACCCGCTTGTAACTGGGTTATTTATTCATACCCATACAATAACTATAAAAAATTGCATGAGAAAAAGTGTGCTATTACATGGAATTCATGTCTTATTACATGTTAAAGCATATTTTTTTATGCCATATTCCATATAGTTCTTATACTCACATGATATCGCATGCCCATGGAGATATAATTCGGATAAGAACGTTATCAAAAATATTTTGGCTTCCTAAAATAAAATACAAATTCTAAATATAAATTATAGGTATTAAATACTCTTGCTAGCTCTTATGATGATCTTAATCAATATGCTATTTCCCATAATCAATGAGCTACTTTAGATAAAATTGTTAAATTCCTCAAACCGTTTAAAGACCTTAAAATTAAAATGTCATCTAGCACAAATAGTACGACTTCCTGGGTTATCCCTCTTTTCAACATTATCCTCAACCATATCGAAGATGTGGCTTCAAATGAAGAAATAGTGAGTTAGTCTTTAAATAAATTTTTAGCTTTGAATTTATAAATTTAAATAATCTCAATTTTAGGATCATCACTCTTCACGGCTGCTATAGCAGCGAAAAAAAACTCATTCAATACTACTCCAAAACAAATGCAACTGTAATGTTGTGCACTGCTTTAGACCTGAGAAGAAAATTTAATTATTTTGTTAAGAAAGAATTTTCAGAGGCTGAAATTAATGAAGCAAAAACCCTGTAAATTGTTTTTATTTAATTATTGTTAGTAGGGTTGGAGCATGGATATATATATTTCCCAAACTATTTTTTAATTTCCTTATATGGAAATCTATATTAACCAACTAATCATAAATTTTTACGAAATCTAAACCTATTTCAGAACATTGAAGAAAAATTTTTACCTATAACACAATACTTAACCTCTCAACTCTAAATCAAATAAGGAAATTAAAACTGGTTTTGTAATATCCATATTCAACTAGAGTTGGGCACTGTGTGCTTTATTTACTATATGGTGTTTAACTGTTATATTACTTATTTACATAAGGTTTAATATGTTGATTAAACACCATCTCTAAATTCAAACCTAGTTATTAGAGATCGAATCTATTTTAAATATCAAAAATTAAGAATTTCAAATACTTGTTTTTTAATATTAAAATCTAGCGTTTGAGTTATTAATAGGATCTGCTTACTTCACCAGCAGTTTATTAAACTGATACCATGCCAAGAATAATTCACTAAAAATATATACCTGGCTAAATGAACTTTTAGTGAAGAACTGTGGGTGAAGTGAGCAGCACTGGAATATAAATAGGTTTAATTGCTCTTTTCAAATTACTGTATTCACTGATTTTCATACATCACACTGGAAATCAGAAATCTAGAATAAATGGCAATACGTGATTGGGTAAAAATTATTTTTAACCAATCACAAATTTGCATTTATTCTATATTTCTGATTTCCAGTGCAATGTATGAAAATCAATAGACACAGTAATTTGAAAAGTGCTATAATATATATTCAACAGAAGCCCCAAACTTCACCATATCTATGATCACTAATAGTTATTAATTTTAACTTTCATATGCTTATATATTTAATTTACTTTTTAGAACGTGAAGTCTTTTTGAAATGAAGTATCTATCATCTATGCTCGATAATGATTTAAATACTAGTAATGTGATAAAATCGACTACACGATCAATGTTAGATACAGATTTTGATGAGATGACAACAACCTTGAAGATGAACTTGAATGTTATATCACAGAAAGGCCAGCAAATAAAGATATGGTTGTGTTGTCTTGGTGGAAGGTAACTAACAGTAAATAAATACCTTATGAAATAATATATTAATAGTTAACATTATAATAGACACACCAAGTACAGTTTCCTCACCTCGCTTGTATGGCTCAAGATTACTTGGCAATTCCTGCATCTGCTACTGCTTCCGAACATGCTTTTTCTGCAGGAGGAAATCTTATTACAGACAAAAGGTCTAGATTAGTTCCTAAAACTGTCAGGATGACACAATGCCTTCGCTCATGGGCCCAGGGTCCATTAAAAGAAAAGCTAAGAGATTTATCATAAAGTATAGTTCTAAAAATTAAATAGATAAATAAATAAGGTATATTGATTTATATTTCTAATATATAGTATTTAGGTCTGTCTATTTCTTTTTTAATAATGAAATATTCTTAAGTATTTTTATTGTTTATAAAAGTATTTGGCTTGTTAATTTTTAATATCTAATCTTTATATATAGCACAACTTAGTTAAAAATCATTCACGATGAGTTCTATAATATTAGTCAAAGATTTTATTACAATATTATTATATATCTAACATACTTATTAAATCAGTACTAAATAAAATAGATAAAATATATAAAGGGAAAAAATTAGTTAAATTTCATAAATTTATTCACAATATAATTAAAAGTATATAAACGATCAAATTTTACTTTCAATAAAGATAACATTGAGTTTAAAACAGTTAGAAATATATATTATTCTTTTCCTCATGATAATTACAGACTAGAGTTGACCTTGAAACTAAACCTATCTGAAACTAGTTACAGGAAGATTCTAATCTGAAACTTGTTTCAGATTTTTAAAAAAATTGAAACCCAAAATTTGCAAAACTATAATCTGAAACTCCAAAACCCTAGTTGACCAATCAGGATGCATGATCAAGTGTAATATTAAAATTGGAGCGATTATGATTTTTAAAAAATTGCTTCTAACACTGAATATCGGGTGCATACTGGGAGACAAGTTTCCCAATATGTATCCGTTAGTCTTTCATAGATCTGCCAAATACCTGCTGAATATTAGCAGCATATTGGCAGCACATTGGTAAGATATTGGGAGTTAGATTGATACTAGTAACATAACAGCAAAATATTGGCATATCCCGATATCTTACTTTTAGACCCAGAATACTAAAAGTAAGATATTGGGATATTCTAATATTTTGCTGTTATGTTACTGATATCTATCTATCTCCTGATATCTTACCAATGTGCTGCCAATATGCTGCCGATATTCAGCAGATATTTGGCAGATCTATGGAAGACTAATAGATACATATCGGAAAACTTGATTACTTTCAAAAAGTATTATATGCATATAATATATTATTATTCAGATGTATTTAGTTAATAATG